CTGTTCATCTTTTATCTTTCCTGTACCTTTCTTAGGTTCCTTGCTCCTTTGATAGCATTGTTAGAGTGTCAGCCTACCTCTGTGATTTTGTGCTGTAATTTTATTTAAAAAGGGAAAATTTTTGCCCTAGCTGGTTTGGCTCAGTAGATAGAGTGTTGGCCTGTGGATCAAAGGGTCCCGGTTCGATTCTGGTCAAGGGCACGTACCTTGGTTGCAGGCTCCTCACCTGCCCGGGCCCTCATCGGGGCTCGTGCAGGAGGCAACCAATTGATGTGTTTCTCTTACATTGATGTTTTTCTCTTGTCTTTCCTTCTCCCTTTCACTCTCCCTAAAAAAGAAAAAAATGAATGGAAAAATATCCTTGGCCCTCGCCGGTTTGGCTTGGTGGACAGAGGGTCAGCCTGCGACTGAAGGGTCCCCAGGTTCGATTCCAGTCAAGGGCACATGCCAAAGTTGCAGGCTCGATCCCCAGTAGGGGGCGTGCAGGAGGCAGCCAGTCAATGATTCTCATCATTGATGTTTCTGTCTCTCTTTCCCTCTCTCTCTGAAATCAATAAAAATATATTAAAAATATATATGTCCTTGGGTGAGGATTAACAAAAATAAATAAATAAAAATGGAAAAATTTTGCAAAGCGCTGTGAGTGTAAAAGTATAACAAGCCCCTTTACCCGATATCTGTGTTTCAGCTGCAATTAGAAGTGGATCGCTTGGAGGAACTGAAAATGCAAAACATGAAGAAAGTGATTGAGGCGATACGAGTGGAGCTGGCTAAGTACTGGGACCAGTGTTTCTACAGTCAGGAGCAGAGACAAGCTTTTGCTGCTTATTATGATGGTCAGTACAGGAGCGGTGGCCTTGATGTGGCCTGCACTTGTAAAGAAGTGCACATGTTCACCAGAAAGTGTTTCCTCTGCTGGACAGTTATAACTACCTTTTCAAGCCTTTCACCATAAGTTGTCATTCCTGTATCAGTGAGCATTTGCAGATGCTCCTGGGAAATAAGGGATGTCTTGATTTCTGAAGCAGCTTGTCACGGTAGCCTGTAGTTGTGCAGCTCAAGTTTATCAGCGCCTGCTTACTCTATGCCAGGTGCAATGTCAAACTCTTAACAATAAGATCTCAATCTCATGTCAAGAGATGAGGACACAGGTGCATAAATGTTGAGCAACTTGAACCGGAGGCACAGTGGGTAGAGGGCAGAGCTCACAGTTAAGGCCACAGAGTCTGACCCCAGAGCCCAACAGAATTCTAGTCTGACCTGAACTGAGTGTAAAGATAAAGTTGTCTAATAAATTCCACATTGGGGACATTTTCTGTGACCCAGCCCACTACTGAGCAGGGTGGAAACAAAGGATATGAAAGAAAGCCAAGAGAAGGTGAGAGATGACACAGAGGGTTTCGAGTCTTAGTCATTTCAGTCCACACTTTAAGTCCCTACTCCCTAGTCCCTCCAGGCTGATGGTGACAAACCAGATTTTTATTATCCACAATGTATACTTATTCATGTAATGTTTTTACTATAGTGAAGGATAATCTATTTCCAGTTTAGGGAATGAGGGGTTAGAAAGTAAGATGCTGAACACTAGAGGGATTTTTAAAACTCCTGGGCTTCTATCTTGCAGAGGACTACACAGAAAGTCTGCTCCAGGTCCATGACGCTGAGGTTGTGCGGTTAAGAAACTACTACGAGGTTCACAAAGAACTCTTTGAAGGCGTGCAGAAGTGGGAAGAAAGCTGGAGGCTTTTCTTAGAGTTTGAGGTACTGCCCTCACTTTCCTCTGTTTTCCTTAGAGGACAATGAAGTATGAAGAAAGCATGTCTTTTCCCTGGTTGGTTTGGCTTAAGTGGGTAGAGTGTCGGCCTGCGGACTGGAGGGTCCTGGGTTCAGTTCTGGTCAAGGGCACTTACCTCTCAATCCGTTGCAGGCTCAATCCCTGGTCCTGGTTGGGGAGCGTTGGGAAGGCAACCAGTTGATGTGAGAGAGACATCTGTGGATGGTTTCTCTCTGCCTCTCCCCCTCCCTTCCCCTCTCTCTAAAAATGGAACAATATCCTTGGGTGAGGATAAAAAAAGAAAAGAAAGCATGTCCTTTATAGAGTCAGTCTCCTTTTCTCTTTACTGAGTTTCTAATACCAGTATCTTCATCACTACGTCTCTAGCTTACTACTGACTGACCCATCTGTATTTGTGAGGCTTATGTACAGGAACATATAAGAGAAAAACCCCGAACAAATGGCTTTATCAAGGTAGAAGTTTCTGGCATAGAGGAAGTCCAGAGGGGGCAGTGCAGGGCAGGTGTGGCAGTTCCACAGTCAGTGGGGTCCCAGGCTTCTCCAGCTCATGGCCCTTATCCTCAGGTTCCGGTTGGCCCTCGAGCTCCCACCACAGCCCATGTGGAGGAAGGGACACAGAGGCACTGTCCCGACAGCCCCTCGAAGGGCTCTCCCAGGCTCTCATCCCAGCATCTCTGCTCATACGCCTCATCTCTGTGAGGGTGGCGGTCTTGCTGCCACAGAGGAATTCGGGTTCTGTTACTGAGGAGGGAGTGAAGGATAGATATTGGGCCAGGCAAGTAGTATTTTCTCTTCCAACACTTGCTGTTTTCTTAGAAAATTGCCTGGGTTTAGTGCGCATTTGTATGCTGAATTCCGCACAGGCAGGTTCCCTCAGAGCATTTTAGAGCTCGGGGCTGGGACTAGGAGGCGGCGTAGTGGACACAAAATTCAAGCAGCCTTGCTCTCAGGTTCACGCTGGCCCTGTTAGAGCCCAATGGGTCCTTCAGGGAGTCCTGAGTTCAACTTCACATTTACAGGCGGGAGACTAGGGCTCAGAAGTGGGAGAACTGTGTGAGACCTTACAGCTGTTTCAGGACAGGTTTCCCCGTCCTCAGTGACCCCTGACTTCTGCTTGAGAGCAAGAAGGAGGAGGAATAACTGTCAGTAAAGAGCCAAATACGTAGCCCTTGTTGACATGCAAGTGTTTAAGAAAAAGTGAGAGACTAACTCCCGTCCCTTGTAGGTACTGTTTCTAAGCCATCACCGACCCAGCAGGCTGGGAGGGGAATGGAATTTCTTCACAAGCTTAGCAAATTGTCAGGATTGGTTCTGCTTTTCTGATGACCTGCCCTAATTTTGAGTGTACACATCTAATTTATATTTCTAAATTATATGCTTTTATTACTGTTCTGGTATACTGAACTGGTATACATGATAGAATTAAAAAAAAAAAAAACCAAAAAATAAGCCTAACATACTATATTTTTTTGTCCATTTTGTGAGGGTCAATTCAGTGAAAACCAGATTGTCTATAACCCTTAACCTTGCATATTTAAGCTGCATTGTCTCAATAGGCCGAAAGAGAGTGGACAGGTAGGGTGCCCACCAAGCTCTGAGTGTAGACCTTTCCCTTGTCCCTCCACACAGCTCATTTCCTGTAGGTGATGTAATTTTTTGACATCTGAACCAAGGAATGGAGCCAGTGACGTGGTGCGCTAATATTGAAGCCTGTCTTGCTTTTTAGATGACAAAGGAAGCACTGGTTTTCCTGCACCAAGTGGATGTGCTCACACCCAGCTCCCCTGCCTTAGGCCCTCTCCGTTCCTCACTGCTCAGAGGGAGTGGGGATGCAAACCTCAGTCTCCTTAACCAGTTAACTGCCACGTGTCCAAAATGGAAACCATCTCCACACGCCATGATATTTTGAATTTAATTTAAAAAGTCAATTTGCAATGAATATTATAAAAATAAATATATTCCTCCCAATTCGGGTGTTCTTGAATATTTTCAGCTGAAAATTCTCACGAAAAACGATTTTAAAGTTGGTCAGGGCTGCCACCTAGGGAAATATTTTTTTTTTTATAGACGCGCGTGGCATGTAGGGAAGGTCCACTGCTTGCGTCTACAGACGCTTATGGCGTACAGTGGGTTAGTAATGTACATCCGAGTCCTAGCAGAAGGGATTGGTCTGATTGCTTGTTCCAGGGTTTACTCTAATTAAAATGTATTTTCACAGAGAAAAGCATCAGATCCAAGTCGATTTACAAATCGAGGAGGAAATCTTCTGAAAGAGGAAAAGCAACGAGCCAGGCTCCAGAAAACACTCCCTAAGGTAATAGTGTTAATAGTTTTGGTGCTTGACTACAAAATACCTCACTTTTTGTGGATTCTTTGCTTTGAATCATTTGCCCCAAACTGTCTTCTCTTTCAAGGGTTAGGCAAGGATAAGAAACACTGGGCCTTACTGGCATAAGCAGCTGTATGTCAAGGTGTGTTAGTTTTCTAGCACAGCCATAAAAATACCACCGACTGGGCGGCCTGAACAAAGACATGTATTTTCTCACAAGTCTGGGGCTGGAAGTCAGATCAAGGCCTAGGCAGGCTGGTTTCTTCCGAGACTTGTAGGTGGTTGTCTCGCCTTGTCTTCACACGTCAAATAAAACCACATTCCTCGATACTGGAGGTTAGACTTCAGCATATGAACGGGGTGGGGAGGGTCACAGTTCAGCCGATAACACAGAGCAAGCGCTTTATCTTTAGCAAGTTCTGTGGGCTTAGTATCTTCTCTATTTTAATAATAGCAATAGTGTTAATTGAATGAAGAGCCAGGTATTATTTCAAAGTGCTTTCCATTTTTACGATGAGGAAACGGGGCACTGAGAACTTAGGTAACTTGCCCACTTTTCATGGCTCGCAGGAGGCAGGGCCCAGGCCTGACCCAGATGGTGCTGCCCTCACTGCACGCCATGCTCTCACTTTCAGCTCCAAAACCAGTGGCGACGCTGGGCTGTGTATTGTGAACACACCATCCCTGGCCTTTGATGTCAGCTACTCTGACATTTCCCCAAGTGGGTCCGGCCCGGAGTCAGCCTGGTGAAGCTCGGGAAGGAGGAGTCATTTCCTTCAGGCTTCACACCAAAGGTTTGAAGTAAATAACACGTGCTTGTGTCTGGTCTCAGCTGGAGGAGGAATTGAAGGCCCAGATTGAGATGTGGGAACAGAAACACTCAGCAGCGTTCGTGGTCAATGGGCAGAAGTTTATGGAGTACGTGACTGAGCAGTGGGAGACGCATCGGTTAGAGAAGGAGCGAGCCAAGCAGGAAAGGGTACGTGAACCCAGTTTGGGAAGAGGGGAGGGTGGTCATGTGAGCAGCCAGACCTGCTCTATCCCTGGGATGTGTCACTGTTGCTTCTGACTGTCACACAGCAACTGAAGAACAAGAAGCAGACGGAGACAGAGATGCTGTACGGCAGTACTCCCAGGACACCCAACAAGCGGCGAGGACTGACTCCCACCACCCCGGGCAAAGTGCGCAAGGTAAGGAGGCGCCGTGGCCCACTAGTGACAGGGCGTGTGGCGGGCGGGGCCACGCCGGCTCTCGCCATCTGTCCTGCAGGGATGGGGAAGGGTTTGTAGAGACTTTCAGTTGAGTCCATTTGAGATTGGAGCATTATTTCTCTTCTCCTTCTACTCATCTATATTATAAAAAGCCAGTGACTGTAACACCATAACGACCAAACGACCAGTCACCAGGAGGTGGGTGCATTGATGGGTCTAGTGGCGCGGCGGGTTTCTGGGCAGATTTCTGGATCTCGCATGATTTCGCACGCTGGGCCTCTGGTACTTTATAATATATAAAAACCATTTTAAAAGCACCTGTACCATAATTCCAAGAAGAGTACTAAAACTATTTGGTGTTTTTCTTGCTTTTTAAAAAATATTTTTTTTATTGATTTCAGAGAGGAAGGGAGAGGGGGAGAGAGATAGGAACGTCAATGAGGAGAGAGAATCATTGATTGGCTGCCTCTTGCATGTCACACACGGGATCAATCCCACAACCCGAGCATGCTTCCTACTGGCTCATAGGTCGATGCTCACCCACTGAGCCACCTTGGTTGGGCTTAAAACAGCTTTTAAAAATAATGTATATTGCCGAAACCGGTTTGGCTCAGTGGATAGAGCGTCGGCCTGCGGACTGAAAGGTCCCAGGTTCGATTCCGGTCAAGGGCATGTACCTGGGTTGCGGGCACATCCCCAGTAGGGGATGTGCAGGAGGCAGCTGATCGATGTTTCTCTCTCATCGATGTTTCTAACTCTCTATCTCTCTCCCTTCCTCTCTGTAAAAAATCAATAAAATATATTTTAAAAAAAAATGTATATTTACAAAGTAGAGTTCACATTATGTAATTTTGATTTCTGCCTTTTTGCCCATTTTATATTGTTTGTGAGTTTTTCTTCATAGCATCAAACTTTCTTCAAGTACATGTTCATTGTTAGCTACTTGTTCTGTCCTCTTAACATTTTATGAAACTAGCTCCCTAGTGTTCAATATTATTATGGAAATAATGTGGTGAGCTTTTAAAAACATACATAAAAACACTAATATTCTGTTCTAGAAAGGCTTATTTTAATTAAAGGTTTGAGAATCTCTCTGCTAAGATTACCAGGTGGGCTATCCTTGCTGTCAAAGTGCTGCCCTCATATGTTTCTTGTTTCTTAATTTATTATTTTAATTTTAAATATAGATTATTTTTTTTAATTGACTTCAGAGAGAGAGGAAGGGGGAGAAAGAGAAGAACAATGATTTGTGTTCCACTTACTGATGGCATTCATTGGTTGATTCTTGTATATGCCCTGACCTGGGACCAAACTGCAGTGTTGGTGTGTTGGGACAACACTCTAATTAGCTGAACTACTCGGCCAGGGTTACAGTATTTTTTATTTTGTAATTACAGTTGATGTATACCCGAAACTAATATAATGCTGTACCACCCAGTGACTGAACATTTAAATAACTTAAAAGGTGATCACCCCTATAAGTCCAGTGCCCACCTGGCACCATACATGGCTATTACGTAGCTATGTTATTGACTGTATTCCCTGTGCTGGGCTTTCCCTCCCCAGGACTATTTTGTAATCACCAATCTGTGCTTCTTAATCCCTTCCCTTTCACCCAGCCTTCCAACCCTCCTCCCTGGCAACCGTCAAAATATCCTCTGTATCTATAAGTCTGTTTCTGTTTTGTTTATTTATTTTGTTCTTTAGATTTTTCATATAAGTGAATAATATGGTATTTGTCTTTCTCTGACTTATTGTACTGAGCATAATACTCTCAAGGTCCATCCATGTTGTTGCAGGTGGCAAGAGTTCATTCTTTTTTTATGATTGAGTCATATTGCATTATCTACACTAATAAAAGAGAAAAATGGTAATTGGCGTACGACCGCTACCCTTCTGATTGGCTAATCAGCGTATCCTTATGCAAATTAACTGTCAGCCAAGATGGCGGCCGGCAGCCAGGCAGTTGGAAGCGAACGTGAGGCTTCCTTGCTCCCGTGACTGCGAACTCCAATGTTCCCCGCCTGACTTGCCGGCCTCTGAGCCGGCAGTTTGAAACATTCTAACAAATATAGCCGGCTGGGATCTCAGAGCTGAAGTTATACATTGTTTCGATTATAGAACGGCAAACAAACCAGCAGCGGAAGCCTCAGAGCTAGAGCCAGAGCTAAAGCTGGCCCAGAAGAAAAAAAAAAAGAAAAAAAGGAGCGGTTGGGAGCTTCCCGCCAGCCCTCAGCCCCTCACCCAGACTGGCCAGGCACCCCAGTGGGGACCCCCACCCTGAAGGGTGTGTGACCAGCTGCAAACAGCCATCATCCCCTCATCCAGGCTGGCCTGGCACCCCAGTGGGGACCCCTACCCTGAAGGGTGTGTGACCAGCTGCAAACAGCCATCATCCCCTCATCCAGGCTGGCCAGGCACCCCAGTGGGGACCCCTACCCTGATCCAGGACACCCTTCAGAGCAAACCAGCCGGCCCCCAGGCCTCTATCCTATATAGTAAAAGGGTAATATGCCTCCCAGCACCGGGATCAGCGGAGCCGTGAGGCCTCCTGGCACCAGATCAGCGAGACAGGGTGCAGCGCCCAAACCCCCTGATCGCCCTGCGGCTCTGTGTGTGACAGGGTGTGGCATCCCAACCCCCTGATCGGCCCTGCTCTGTGTGTGACAGGGGGTGGTGCCCCAACCCCCCTCTCCCCGCCCACGGGCCCTGCTCTGTGTGTGTGACGGGGTAGAGCCATAACCTCCCCATCGGCCCTGCCCTGAGTGTGACAGTGGTGGCGCCCCAACCCCCTGATTGGCCCTGCTCTGTGGGTGATAGAGGGCGGTGCCCCAACCCCCTGATCCACCCTGCTCTGTGTGTGACAGGGGGCAGTGCCCTAACTCCCCTATCGGCCCTACTCTGTGCGTGACAGGGGGGAGCTCCCCAACCTCCTGATGGGCTCTGTGCGTGATGGGGGGGGGCAGCTCCCCAACCCCCTGATGGGCCCTGCTCTGTGCGTGATGGGGGGGGGCAGCGCCCCAACCCCCTGATGGGCCCTGCTCTGTGAGTGACAGGGGGCAGCGCCCCAACCCCCTGATTGGCCCTGCTCTGTGCATCACAGGGGGTGGCGCCGCAACCTCCCCATTGAACCTGCCTTGAGTGTGACAGGGGGCGGTGCCCCAACCCCCCAATCAGCCCTACCCTGAGCGTGACTGAGGGTGGCATCGCAACCTCCCAATCAGCCCTGCTCTGAGCCCGACCAGGGGCTGCACCTAGGGATTGGGCCTGCCCTCTGCCACTCAGGAGCAGGCCTAAGCCAGCAGGTCGTTATCTCCCGAGGGGTCCCAGACTGCGAGAGGGCACAGGCCGGGCTGAGGGACCCCCTCTTCCCCCCCGAGTGCACAAATTTTTGTGCACCGGGCCTCTAGTATGTATATACCACTCTTTTTTTTTAAATCCTTTCCCAGAGATCTTTTTCCCATTGATTTCTAGAGAGAGTAGAAGGGGAGGGAGATGAGGGTGGAGAGAGACACATCGATGTGAAAGACATATTGATTAGTTGCCTTCCATACGCACACTAACCAGAGCTAGGAATCAAACCTGCAACAGAGGTACATGCCCTTTACTGGGAATCGAACCTGGGACCCTTGGGTCCACAGGGCTATGCTCTAACCACTGAGCAACCGGCTAGGGCTACCACTTAATTTTCCTTTCATATATTGATGTACACTTAGGTTTCTTCTGTCTCTTGGCTATTGTAAATAATTCTGTAAGGAACATATGTATGTATATGTCTTCTTATTAGTGCTTTGGGTTCCTTCAGATACATACCCAGAAGTAGAATTGGTGGGTCCTTTTTGTCTCTTATAGCCTTTGTTTTAAAGTCTGTTTGTCTGCTGTAAGTATTGCCACACCAGCTTTCTCATGAAATAGCTTTTTCCATCCCTTTACTATCAGACTTTGTGTGTCTTTTGATCTGAAGTGAGTCTCTTGTAGACAGCACGTGGAAGGGTCTGTTTCATTATCCGTTCAGCCACCATATGTCTTTTTGATTGGAGTGTTTGCTCCATTTGCGTTTAAAGTAATTGGTGATAGGTATTTATTGCCATTTATTTGCATCTTCCCGTCTTGGTAGAGGGCCCTTATGTAGGTGGTAGGTGTCCTGGAGGGCCCATGGTGCACATCCCGTCACCTGGGCTGGCGCTCCAGGTATGTCTGCCCTGTGTGGCCTGTGTGCACCCGCCGGTTGTAGTTGAGCCTTGACCTCTATTGGCGGGGATTTACCCCTAGACTGATTGGCTTTGGGGACTGGCTGTAGCTACAGGGGAGGAGCTGCTGTTCAGCACCCCCCCCCCCACCTCCACCCCCCCTGTGGAGAGGAGGACTCACTTCAGCTGGGCTCTGGTGTGGTCTGGTCTGACACTGTCCACTGGGTGTGCTGGCTGTGGGGCCTCCTGGGAGGTGCAGGCGAAGGTCAGCTGCTGATTATGCCCTGCCCAGGGCCACCAGCATGAGAGACCGCGATCTGCGATGGTTGGTACTGATTGCTGGGCTTGCAGGTGCCCAGGAGGGGCCAATCTGTGAACTGAGGCTTGCTGCCCCCAGGGCCAGGCTTGGGCTGCTTGGCAAGAGGTTTGGGGGCGCACTGAAGTCAGATGGTTCTTGTTTGGGGTTTGTGGACTTTAAAGAGATTTTAGGAGAGTCCACATCATGAGCCAAGACGGGCTATTTGTATGGACATGCGGTGAAAGTGTTAGTCAAAATAATGGAGGCTCGGACATGATGCCCACCTGTGCCTGCAGGGTGAGGGAGGGCTCAGCAAAGAAACAGTGGGATCTGCCAGCACGCTGTCTGGGAGAAAGCTGCCTCTTCCGCTCTTGCCTCAAAGCCAGACAGTTCAGTTCCTCCCCGTATGTTTCTGATGTTTTCGAGCTGCTGCCCCAGCCTAGAGCGAGTTAGTGTGAGAACGTCCGTGGGCCCTTTAAGAGGAACACGTGGGCCTCCGGCAGCCCTCGGTCTCACTCATCCACCATCCTCCCTGGTTTTCACGGCCAGAAGTTATGGGACTTCTCTTCTTGGCCCTGGAGCCTTGGGTTTGGGGCAGGGACCCCTGGCTCCTCAGAGGGGAACCTCCAGAGCTGACGTCCCTACCAATTACCCACCCGCAGTGGGTGTGGGACCTGCCGTTCCTCCCCTCTGCCCTCCCACCAATCGCCACAGGACTTCAGGTCAGCTAGCCTCTAGCGGTCCTCAGTGATGGTGGTTCTGTTGTCTAGATGTCCTTTTGCTGTGGTCCTGGGAGGGGGCAAGCGTTTGTCTGCTCTGCCATGTTGACGGGAAGCCCAACACTCAGGCATTTCTGAAGCTTCAGCTGCACTAAGCACACAGTCTGTGCTTCCGGCGCAGGCCTGACACATGGTACTTTCAGGCTTCTAGATTCTTTTTTTTTTTTTTTTAAATATATTTTATTGATTTTTTACAGAGAGGGAGGGAGAGAGATAGAGAGTTAGAAACATCGATGAGAGAGAAACATCGACCAGCTGCCTCCTGGACATCTCCTACTGGGGATGTGCCCGCAACCCAGGCACACGCCCTTGACCGGAATCGAACCTGGGACCCTTCAGTCCGCAGGCCGACGCTCTATCCACTGAGCCAAACCGGTTTCGGCAGGCTTCTAGATTCTTGTTCACCTGCTGGCTCTGAAGTAATGTCCAATTATGATTTTGGTTTGCATTTCTCTGCTCACTGATGAAGTGAACATTTGTCTCTTTCTTACAAGGCTTGTAGGAATTCTTTGTTTTGGATGCTGCTCCTGTCAGTTGTGTTACAGTAGCTTTTCCCAGGATTCTTGTGCAGCTTGTCTTTTTCTTCTTTATGGTGTTTCCTTTTGAACAGGAAGTTCTTAATTTTAACACAGTAATCGTGTTAGCAGCCTGTTTTCTTTAGGGCTTGTACTTGTACAGATTCCTTTTCCTGTGTTGTGTGTCCTAGTCTGTGTCTTGTGTTTGAACAGGTTTGCTATCCCATTTGAGGTTTTTAACCCACCTAGACTTTTTTGTGTAAAAAATGCTCAGCTTTACTGAGTGAGATGGACACACAGTGTCTACAGTGGACGCTCAATAAAGGCTGACATGTATGCGCCTCGAAACTCACCACAGTCCAGACCGTGAACGTACCCATTGTCCAGTCCTCTTCCCCCCATTTCCAGACAAACACAATTTGCTCTGTCACTTTGAATAATTTGCATTTTTTAACATTTTATATATAGAGACTCATATATAGGGCTTTTTTTCACTTAGCATAATTTCTTCCATTTAGCATAATTTTGAGAGATGCATCATGGTGGTGCTCGCATCAGTAGGTCACTGCTTTCTATGGTTGAGCAGCATCCACTGTATGACTATGTGGTTGGCTTATCCACTCGCCTGACGAATATCTTGGCTTGTTTCTGGTTTGTTGCTATTGCAGATGAAGCTGCTATAAATATTTCTGTCTGAGTCTTTGTATGGAGCTGTGCTTTCATTTCTCCTGGGCTGGGTCATATGATAGGTGTCTGTCTAGTTTTAGAAACAGACGGTTATACCGTTTTATAGCTCCGTGTACTAGACATTAATAGGCTCTGAACACTTTTCACAAGTTTGTTCAAAGCTCTTTATGGAAATGCATCTTTGTTAGATGCTTCCCAGACTCATTTCTCTGTCGTCTGGGGGTGGATTGCTGATCATGTTCCCTGAATGAGTAATCTCTCTCTCTTTCTCAGCTGAACACTACCACCATGTCCAATGCCACGGCCAACAGTAGCATTCGGCCTGCCTTTGGGGGGACAGTCTACCGCTCCCCCGTGTCTCGACTTCCACCTTCTGGCAGCAAGGTTAGTAAGCTCTGCGTACCAGCCCGTCCCCAGCACCACCCCAGCCTGTTTATCCAGGGGCCCCGCCTACTGGTTCCAGTTTCTAAGACCCCTGGATTCAGTTATCACTGAGATGCTGCGAGTTGGCAGGTGCAAGCTGGTTAAGCTAAAACCGAATGAGAGAAAGAAGAGCATGGCCATGCTGAGCCCCACTGGTATCGTGGGGGAGCCCTGGGAGGGGGCTGGGAAGCTGGGGGGAGCTGGTGGGCTCCACAGGCTCAGTTCAAAGCCAGGTCTTCAGTGGCTGCTGAGCAAGGGCCCTGCACGTGGGTTCCAGCCCTGACACTGGGTCACTAGGCAATCGGGTCCCCTCGCTGAAGCGACAGGAGGGGAGTCTGTGCTGTAATGTGTTTTACAGATGATGCTCAAGATAGGTGTTCTGCAAATCATTAAGAGTTTTTTTGTTGTTCATTTTGTTTTTTACATCAAGCACTGTATAGGATTACCGACAATGAGTGATATTAAGATGGTATAGTCTGTGTGTGTGTGTGTGTGTGTGTGTGTGTGTGTGTGTGGCCGTTCTAAGGATAACATGCTGATCTCTCCTTTCCCCACAGCCAATCTTCACTTCCACCTGTTCAGGGAAGAAAAACCCCCGTGCTGGTCGGCATGGAGCCGACAAGGAGAACCTGGAGCTCAATGGCAGCTTGCTGAGCGGTGGGTACCCCGGCTCGGCCCCCCTCCAGCGCAACTTCAGCATTAACTCTGTTGCCAGCACCTACTCTGAGTTTGCGGTAATTGACCTTTTCTAGTATCTGCCAGTCTCTGGGGAGCACACAGTTGGGGCCGTGGGTGTCTTCCGCGGGGCCCCAGGCGCTCAGCTAGGACAGCGTTTTGGGGGCT